AGCATTCCCGCAATGTTCAATCTTTTCCAACTGTGCTGTTGAGATAAAAGGCTAGCATGTGCACAGAACTGTTAGCAAACACCCAAGTCTGTAATGCTTTCTGCATTCACTATTGCTAAGTTTTGGTTATGGGGATCAGATAATATCTATTCAGAATTTTCTTGGTGGGGAAAAAATAATTGGTCTCAGAATCTAAAAATATTTTATATGCCAAGTTTTAATGCAGATTTATGAATTTGTTTTACCTAAATCATACCCTTTCCCCTTGGCTTACACTGAGCCCTGAAGTGTCAAGAAGTGTGTTTGCTGTCCCCTGCAGCTCTTTGTTGACTTTAGTCAGTAGCTTTGTTTATTAAGCCCTTGTTGATTTTTCTTCCTGCATGGTTTAATTAGGTAGACTAAAGACAGCTGGTCTCAGCATATTCTTGATTCCTAGATTGTATTTTTAACAGCCCTCCGTGTTCATGTAGCATAGGTACTAGTTCAATAATCAGTGACAGGCCCAGAATGGGTTGTAATTAGAAACATTGAATAAGTTTTCTGCCTTTTGAAATCTGTCTCTTAACATCAAAGTGTTCCACACAAGTCCTCTTCCAGACTCTGCTTCCATATCTAAATGAGTGATGTATTTCATGGTATCTGTCGGGAATGATATAATGAAGAAAACCCGCTTTGAGAGGGAGGCCTGATTTTAAAAACAGCTGGCTCACTTGAATGTGTTTGGAAGCATCTGTTTGCAGTTGTATTTTTTCCTGTAAACGTTGTAAATAAGGCACAAGCTAATGTCAAATATTACCCTTTGCATGCATGCACCAACAACCAGCATCAAACCCAAACAAATTGTGCCCATGCAATGTTGTCTGCACCAGTACACTCAAGAAAGCAAGGCAATAAACACCTTTGTGCAGGGGACATTTATTAGAGGTTCACTATGTTTACTATTCAGAGAGATGAATATTCCCTGCTTTAAACAAGTTCTCCCAGCACAACTAAACCTTTGAGGCAGAATATGAGGGGTGAATTAAGCACAAATTCTGAAACAAACTACTTATTTACATCCAAGCAAGCAAACGTTCTGCGGGGGTGAGAGAAAATGCCTCAAGGGTGGGGTGCAGAGACAAAGGCTAAATGTGTGTGGTTTTTTTGAGGCGGGGGGGGGGCGGGGGGGGGGGACGAAGAAGAACAATAATCTGGATATTCTCCGTCCCTCTCTTGCTGGCTCACATTGGGGTTCCGGGAGGTGGCTAAAGGACAGTCCCCAGCCCAGCCCCTTATACTGGTGCTGCTAGCCTGTGAAATTGTTTAAATCAGCCGTAAGAATAAAGAACAATTAAAAGCTCATTTTTAGTCCCAGCAGGAGGCCTCTGCAGAAGAGGGGACCAACCTTCCAATACAGGAAGATTTAACACCCCCCCTCCAAACACCCACAGGTGAAATTGTAATGCAAAGTACCTGGGTAAACAAGCTCCCCACCGCTCCCTTCGCTATGAGGCAGCGTGTGGCTACTATCTGATAGAAATCTTTCAGCGGGAGCGGGCTGCCTAGGAGCTCCCGGGGGCTCTCTGTTATTTGTGTGTGAAGTTCGATAATCCCGCGCTAAATGGTTTGTGAGACTCAAGCGTGAGGCTGGCGGATCGCGGGTCAGCGTCTGCCCAGGACGCCAGCGGCCGGGGGAATCAAGCGCTACAGCAGGAGCCCGAAGAGGAACGAGCTGCAGAGGCGCGCCGCGGGTGTCGCGCTCGGGGCTGCTGGGGTAACCTAGTCCGCTGATTCCCCAGTGCAGCGGGAAGAGAGAGGCCCACGTGCCACTCGGATCCCAGCACTGCAGATCCATTGCCAAGCATTCGGGGGTGAATTAGCGCGGCAGTGATGCTGGACGGGATGCTAAAATGAAACGGCAACCCAGAGTTAGGGAGGGGTCGTTTAAAAGACTAGCTGCAGATCGGTTCCCCGAGACCGAGCGTGAGAACGTCGCCAGCCGAGGGGAAGGTACCGTGCAGCCAGCAGTAGGGTTGCAGCCTCTCTCGACTGACGCCCAAATAGCTGTGCGCTTCAGTGGGAGTAACAGCTGTCTCTCCGGTGCGCCTCCCGTAGTAGTTCGGTGTTTTCCCCTCTGAGAGCTTCATCTGAAATGTTATCCCCACCCCCGGGAAAACAGGTTAAGAATTGAGCCCTGCCTTCCTAAACCTCACTGCTCAGAGTCTGCCTAGGCCCTTGAATGTTTGTGGGGAAACTCCAAGCCCAAGTGAAACGGAGACGGTTCGGTTAGTAGGTACAGGGTTTCCTTGATCTCTTCCTTTCTCCAGTTTCATAACCACTCCAGCTTTACTCGGGTGCTTTATCTTGGGACTAAATGGGAAACGCTGGTTACCATCGAGCATCATAAAACCACATATCTATTGATATTTAAAATATTTCTGGAGGAATAGCAAGTATCCCCATATAACTGTGTGGCTCTCGGAGAGTTTTATATTTGTGCTATAAAGTGAATGGGAGACTTGACAGTGTGATCCGAGAGCTCCGATTCAGATAGTCTCCGATCCAGAATGTAGATGTGTCCAGTACGTGCATTATTTGCTACAATATATTAGCTCCTACAGCTAGCACTGTGACGGCAGATCGGCTTGCAAAGGCCCAGCATGAGCTCTGCTACAATACACTTGGCTGTATGCGAGTTTCAGAGATCTACTATTGGAATATAGGAAAAGGAGTGAACTCATAGCTGATGGTTCAAAGGTGCTGGTGGCTTACATATCCCATTGAAATCAGCGTGGCAGGCTTTCAGCACCTTTGAACATAAGGCCAATTGTTATTCGCGTTCATATTGGGAGACTGTCACAGGCCCAATCCTGCCCTCACTTGACTGGGAGCAGGGCGCAGGCTGTGGCCCAGTATAACTGCAGCTGAATGGCACTGGTACCACTGAGAAGAGAATTTTGCCCCTCGCCTTAGGGGTGACAATTAGAGAAGAAGGGAAAGAATAAAGCAATTGAAATGCAGCCAGCATTGCCGTGGGGCGTTTTATGTACAGTCGCTTGCCCTCCTCAATGGCACAACACTTCGCCCTCTGTCTGGGTCCTGCAATAGGCTTGTGGCTGCCTGAGGGCCCATTCCCGCAGTGGTGCGGCTGGCTGAACACTCCGTTGCGAGGAACAGTAGGTGGCGCTTAGCTGATACAGTACTTAGGTAGCTTTTGAACTAGATCGCCTCCCAGGCTCAGTTCTGCTCACATACAAAAGTTGCAATAGCCACAAAACTAAGAGGACTGTATGGCCTGAGAACACTACGAGGTATTCAAGAAATGTGCCGCAGGATACTTAATGCCTTGTTATACCCAACACCTATTTCAGACAAGGTCTCTTTACTGGTTATGTGTTGTCCTCCTTCTGAGGCTCTCATCGTGTTTGACACTTACTCTTACATTTGCTCTTGGGTTTGAGTTTTAAGCATGACTGTATAGCTACTATTAAAAATATGCCAAAATTAGGGCTCATTAAACCATTTGATCTGCTGGCTGCTTTTCATAAACTTGTAATTCGCCCTCCGGACAGTTTCATTACAAGTGACTGACGGTTGTTAGTTAAACCAGTGACTGAAAAACCTACTTTTGTAAACGTGATTTGAGTTTTTAAACTCTCCCAATTATCTTGACTATATAGGCCTCTTATTAATTTCTGATCTCTTGGAAGCAGTATTCCTTACGAGTCAGCGTGTGATCACAGACTAGGTATCACATGTAACATACTCAACAGAAAGGAACAAACTGCAGGCTTTGAGGTTTGATTAATGATAAACCATATAAAGTATATTGCTTTACGTGTTACTCTTACCGAAAGGAAACTTTTCCCAAGCATCAGGCACACGCGCCTGTGAAGGTAAACAGATTTTTTGTAGCTAATATGTATTACCTAAATGACTCGTGCTTTAAATGGTCCCCTGCCCTTAATGGAAATTATTCTCTTTTGGCTTCCCGGTGAACTTTAGCTCTCAGTCCCCACCCTCCCCCAGACTCTTCATGGCTTTTCTTTTGTTGAGATGCTTTTCTTTGTGGCGTTTCTTGGGCCGATTGTATTTGTTAATTAGTTGCTAACAGCGTCGTAATGTGGGCTTGATGGATAACCATGTCATTAGCACTCACCCCTGCAATTCACATCTCCAACAGGGCAGGGGCTCTACCCCATGTTGAGACCATGATTTGTAGATTTAGTCTGGAGTGACACGCGGCTAACCTAGCTCTTCCGCGGCTTTCATTTTTGCATCTCGAAATCACAGCCCCCTGTTCTGATATTAGCTGTACATTTATAAGCCACAGTTTGATCCTGTCCGGGGACACAAAGCCATTACAACTTTTGGGAAAATGTTGAACCATCATATTGCGTTGAGAAAGGAAATCTCTACAGATTCTCTCACAGTGAATTAGTTATTTACCTAGGTCGGTTGTCTCATTTTAGGGTAACCACTTGAAAGAAAATATGTGGAAAATGTACCAGCAAAATCTCCCCTTTGTGTTATCACCTCGCTTCTGGGTTCGCGTGCATGCTCCTTTCTGAGCGCTCCAGCACTGGCTTTTCAGTCGTAAAACGCTTTCCAAGATGTGACTGGTGGGATGCCAGTTAAGCCAGCGCTGTCAAACTGGGATAATGGGAACGAGTCATCTTGCACAAGTAATTATGGGTGAGCTTTTAAACGGTTCGCTCAAAGAGAAACACACCCGGCAGGGGGGAGGCAGCCTTCATCACTAGAGGGAGAGATTTTTACAAATGAATCCCAAAATGAAGGCGCCTCCCTTCCCTAGCAACAAGTAGCAGCTGGTGGCTCTGATTAAGCTAAACCTGCCTCCTCTCCCTCTTTATCTCAGAGGCTCTAAGGAGAGAATTGACGCCACTCATAGCATCGCTGCCCCAGAGCCCGGGTAAGATCTTGCATCTAACGCTGGCCGAGCCCATTCCCCCTCTGCATAGCGCGTACACACCGTTATCATTTCGGTCCCGCCCTTGCACGGGAGCTGGAGCAGAGCCTGGGAGTTGTAGTCCTGACTTCCCGGCTATCAAACGCCTGTGGGTAGAGTCATTGACGAGACTACGTTTCCCAGGGCCCCCTGCTGCTCCGCCGGGCCACTGGCAGGGCTGGGTTGTCAATCAGCGGACGTCAGAGAGCGGAGAGCGCCCAGGCTTGTTATTCCCCCCTCCGGGGCCGGCTGAGAATAAGGGCTGCAGGAGCTTATGAGCGGGGAGGCAAGTGTCACGCCGATGCGCCTTAGCGGGGCGCGGGCCGGCGGGGCCACGTGAAGAGGCTGCGGGCCTGGGGGGAGGCAGGGGAACTCCTCCGCCCAAACCCGCGTCCTGGGGCAGCGGGGGAGAGGCTGCGAGGCTGGCGAGCGGCGATGAGGCGCCGAAGGATCGCGGTGGCAGCCGGCTGCTGCCTCTCCTTCTTCCTCGGCACGTTGCTGAACGTGCTGTTCATCCCGGGCTTTGATCACCAGCAGCGGCAGCGGAGCGGGGTGACCCCGGCCTTGGCGGGCTCGCCTTTGGACCTGCCCGAGGAGGACCGCGGGAGCCGCCGCTGGGAACTAGCCAGGCAGATCAGGGAGCGCTACGAGGAGGTGGTCCGCTACCAGCAGCACCGGGCGCCCGCGGCTGCTGCCAGGCGGCTGGTGAGACCGCTGGAGCGGCGGCTGATGGACCTTGCCCAGCCGCGGACCTCCTCGGAGCAGGCTGTGCGGCCGGAGAAGGGGAAAGCGCCACCGCAGGCTGACAGCCGAGGGGTCTCCCCTGCCGGGGCCAAAATCGATCTGGCCCTGGAGCCGCCGCTGCTAGGGTGCCGGGACATCCACAACGTCACCCACGTTCACTACCTCGGCTCCGGCTACACCAAAGCGGTCTACAAAGTGGTCCTGAACCGCACGCTGGCCGTGGCGCTGAAATCCGTCGATTTTGGAGGGCACGACATCGAGAACTGCGTGCGGCAATACGCGGCGCTGGAGGCGTGCTACAGGCTGGCCTCCTACAAACTCGTCAAGGAGATGGTCCTGCTGCAAAGGCTGCAGCACGCCAACATCCTCCAGGTAAGTCGGGCTGGGGCTCTTGGAGAGGAGTGACAGGTCGCTGGCGCGGGGCCGCTGGACGTGACCCCGGAGCCAATGGTCAGCCTCGGGGTTTCTTTAAAAACGGCTGGGTGTCCGGGGGAAATGTGTCAAGGATTTGTTTCTCACCGCGGGCAACCTGTTGGCGCTCTTCAAAACGAGGGAATAAACGTCCGAGGTAACCGCAGGAAGGGGTGTATCTCCTGGGGAGTTAACTGCATATGTGCGGTGTAG